GTCACTGAAGGTAGAGGTTGCTGAGTCACTGAAGGTAGAGGTTGCTGAAGCCACATTACTCCTTAGAAAGTGGTAGAGAGTATCTGGGAGGTAATAAATGTCTAATAACGGCAATGTTGTTAGGTCTGTACATATTGTAGAAAGAACAAGGAGATTAATCATATGATACAGAAGATCATTGAGTATTTATTTTTAGTCTCTTCACACGATTCCTTGGGATCTTCATTATCCTCAGTGTTCATCATCTAAGAGGAAAGAAAAGATGAGGCTTAGGATAATAGTCATGTAAGAAAAACGATGCTGAGATGCTCAACGTCCTGGGAAAGGCAGGCAAAATACCCAGGAGCTTGTAAACAGAGGGAGCCTGCTTTTGTCAGGGGAATGTTTCAAGGGTGCAGTGATGACACCAGCCACAAGCATGGACATAGGAGACGGCTGGAGTCTGGGGTGGGTGTTTCCAGACTCCTGGCCTCTTATTCCAGTGGAATACAAGATGACACAGATCTCAAAACAGCAAGGAGACTCCCTTCAAACAAAATGATAATCCAGGTCAAAAAGAAATGGGGTGGCAAGATTACTAATGGATCACAAAAGTGAGGCTTCTCAAAGACCCCAATTATTGTTTGGGGCTCCTTTTTCTGAGACTCAAGAGGAGGAGGTTGGGTACTAACAGCATAGCAGGGATGGTTCTCTGTTTTGATTGATAGGTTCGATCAGATAATCAATTCCCTGTTTGCTGTTCATATCATTCTCATCGTGCACCTCATTGTGACCATACACACACAATTATGCGCAGAATAAGATGGTAAATAAGTAGTTCTCCCTAAAAGTTCACATAATTTGCTTTATTGCATGTACACTCAAAGCCAGCCTAGACCGTTGCCCTCACACAACTCCTGATTGTGTTCTAGGACATGTTACCAAGGAGTTCTTAAGGGAAGTCAATCATTCCATTGATTAAAGCAAGTGTCTGCACAACTCTCTGCAGGTTGGGGTTCGCAAGTGGCCGATAGGTTGCTAAGTACATTGTCTAGAGGGGTATCTGTGCACAGCCCAGATCAAATGGATTCCAAGCTGTTCCCTACACAAAGACGTAGGGGCGGTGGTGGTGGCACTTCTGATAGAGGCACAGCACTGACAGAGGTGGAAGGTGAAGAATCAAGAGATGCTGCAGGCTTGTCAAGTTTCTTCTCTTCTCTCGCTGCACTGCTGCTGAGTGGTGGAGAAAGACAAAGCCTCCAGAAGACCACAGGAAGGTAGCATGCAGAGGGAGCCTGAGAACCCAGAGGTGCCCAGGCCAGCAGAAGGAGGAGTTGTCCGTGGTACTCTAAATGTCAGGGAGGTTCCTCAGATGAGGTATCTCTCCAAGGTCTTTTGCTTTTCTTTCTGTGAGCAGCTAAGCATGTAAACATAGGCAAAGCACTGCAATTGAGCCTGACCATCTTTAAAAATAAGAGAAACGCTATTGAACGTGCCCAGGAGAGCAACTCATGGTAAATGCTCAGTAGATGGGTGGTGTTTGCTCTGGGCTAGGGAAACCATGGCAGAAGAAGAAAACATGCCAAGCTGTAGGTTTGTGCTATCCAATATGGCAGCCTCTGGCTGCAAGAGGTATTCCATATTTGAATTTAGTAAAATGGAATAAAATTAAGGGTGGTGAGACGGCTTAGGGGGTACAGGTTCTGGCTTCCAAGTCAGACAGCCTGAGTTTGAACCCCAGGATCCACAAGTTAGAAGGTAAGGACTGACTTCCGAAGGTTGTCTACATCACACACATAACACACACACATACACACACACACTTCACCACATACTATACATACTACACCACACACTACACACACACTACACCACACACTAAACATACACACAAACACACACACACTACACATATACACACTACACCACACACTACACATACACACACACTACACCACACATTACACACACACAAACACACACACACTACATTACATACTACACACACACACAAATACACACACACCATTGCACACATGTGACGCCAAGCCCGATCAATCAGTCAGTATAACCAATGAATTCATTAAAGTAAGAGTTTAGCTCATTGTTTGCCATAGGCACTCATCAAATTGTTCAGTAGCCACATGTGTCCAGCTGCAAGCATATGGACAGGGCAGACGTAGGTATATTCCCAGCAGGGTACAACCCTCTGTGGGATTTTGTCACCCTGGGAGATTATCAGGGTGTGCTTGTCTCAGGGAGTCCTGCTGGGCAGGGCGAGGTCATGTGGTTGATACCTAAGCTACCATGACTTCCTGATGTCCCCATTGGTGTCTGCTGTGGTACCCATGCTGACCCACCATCTCACCTCAGGTCCTCACTTGATTATAGGATCCTTATGTTTTATTCTAATCCCCAGAGATGAGCTTGTTCATCTGGGAGACTCAGAGACAGAGCAACCTGGTACTTTAGGGCTGGGGTGAGTGGACTTCTCTGGCACTCAGTAACAAGGCTGGAGAGATGGGGCAATCCTAACCTCGTCTCTTCCCTTATTACCCTCCACAGATGGATCAAGGTGCTCATCCCAAAATTTTCCATCTCTGCGTCCTACAACCTGGAAACCATCCTCCCCGAGATGGGAATCCGGGACGCCTTTAATTCAAACGCTGACTTCTCCGGAATTACAAAGACCCATTTCCTGCAGGTTTCTAAGGTAAGTTGATGGAGATATGTGCAAGAAAGTCCACGCCAGAAGGGACAGCTAAGAAAGGACGCCTATCTTACTTCGAAGGTCACAGGCTGGAGAGGGTGAGGTGTTTAATGGCCAAAGAAAGGGCCAAGTCTTGTGGCTGCCAGGCCTGGGCCTCCATGGCCACACCATAACCTGACTCACGGGTACACATAATCCCTCTTGAAGAAAACAATCTGTGCTTCTTTGACAAGCAGGTCTGCTCCTAGCAAGCAACATGGTTGCCACATACCTGCAGTGAAGAACAGACAGGCTTGTAGCATCTCTTCCTCCCAACCTCATTGAATTCCCAAGCAGATGCTATGGCAACCGCTGTCCAGGTGCCTTTTGAACCCGTAGATGTGACATTTGTCCTAAAGGGAGAGGGATGGGTCTAAAAGGCCAGATGTTTTGGTCCTCTTGTGAGAAATTACTGAGTTCAATTCGCAAGTGATATAGCAACTGTTGCATCTGAAATCGCTTAGCCTGGCAGTACAATCGGGTGACTTCATGTCCCACAGAAAGTCTCTTCGTTTGGTGGGTTGCCTGTTTAGTCTCTGTCCACATCCACGTTGTTATCTGTCAGGTTTTTGATCTGGTTAATTTATATGCTTATTTATATGTTAATTTGATAATGGATTATATGACGGTCAGCTATTGTTCTGAGTTCATTTTTGTCATTGTTCCCCTGGGAAAAAGGACTGAGAGGTCCCCCCCGTGGGACATGATGAGCCCAATAGAGCTTTACCCAAGGGGAACACTCATAGGCACCTGAAAAAATGTCCTCATGGGCGGTTTCCAGCCCATGATGTTATCTTGGCTGTTGGTCACAGGTTGAGAACCTCCTCCCTGGAAGAGAAAGCAGCATCAGCCTTTGGTAGCAGGAGGCTCAGGTCACAGCTTCTGTTGGGAGCCACTGACCCTTGTTCTCCCATTCACAGGCTGCTCACAAGGCTGTGCTGGATGTCAGCGAGGAGGGGACAGAAGCCGCGGCAACCACCACCACCAAACTTATAGTCCGCTCAAGGGACACTCCGTCTTCCATCATCGCCTTCAACGAGCCCTTCCTCATTCTACTTCTAGATAAAATCACAGAATCCATTCTCTTTCTAGGGAAAGTTGAAAACCCCAGGAAGATGTAGGTTGGAGGTGAACCGTTAGCTGGTCTCACACTGATAATGCTCATGAAATAGGTGTGTGTTGGAAGACACTTGCAGGGTGATACCAAGACGCTTCCATGCTTGAGGCCAGCTTAACTCCAACAGGAGCATATTGGTTTCAGGGATAGCACACTGGGGCCCAATCATAGAAGAGACAACAGGGTCACCCTGCCAGTGGCCCCTCCCACCTGTTTTCCTACAAACCTTTCTCCTGGAATGTGGCAGAGCAGGCAGGGCTCCATTCCTCCTGGAGCTCTTGGAAAGGATGACACACAGGACCCAGTACCCTTGCTTTTATGGCTGGCTTCCAGCACTGCATTCAATAAACCTGAAATGTGTGGCAACAGAACCTCATCTCCCCCGTCACCAGGGCCCTAATCTGAAAAGGAGGGATTGCCCACTTCTGAGTGGCTGGGTTGTCACTGGAGGCATTGTGGTGGCTGCATGGATTCATTCTCTCAGTTGAGCTCTTCAATGGCTCCTGACATGCTGGATCTAGATGGGAGAAAGAGAGAGAGAGAGAGAGAGAGAGAGAGAGAGAGAGAGAGAGAGAGAGAGAGAGAGAGAGAGAGGGAGGGAGCATTCAGTAGCAATGAAATGAATCTGTGGACAAAGAAGTTGTGACAAATTAGGATAAGTGTCACAAAAGCCATGTAGGATGGTGGGGACACTCACAGGAGAGGTATGAGAGGGGGTACTGGGGAGGACCTGTGGCTAGAGCATTGTGTGTCATAGGCATGCAGGTAGATGAAGAGGAATACACACTGCCTGGGAGGATGACCTAGGCCAGGTAAGGGATGGGAACAGAAAGCTCACTGGGTTTCTTAAGCAGGAGTATAACAAATGTCAGTGCAGTATGTGTTGTAAAGATCTCTCCAATGTGGCCACCTTTCTGGCCCCAAGACACCCTGACTGTGGCTGTTTATAGTGACAACAGCCTTGCATATCCTGAAAGCCAGCACTGAATGCCCTGCCCCCACTGCCAGGTGTCCTGTGTGGGCTCCTGGCCACTTCATTTCTCAGCACTAGCATGTCCCCTGTAACCTTCAGCAAAGCTCGGGTTCTTTTTCTGAAGGCACAGGTGCCCCACCATCCCAAATGCTGGCTTTCCCAGGCTGGTACATAGAGAAAAACACAAACCAGAAAGACTTATGCAGGCTTTCAAAAGAAAGCCATGTAGGGTGCCCTCTGCTGGGCAGCAAGCAAAGTGCAGGCTGGAAGGCTTGACTGTTGCCTGTGAGGTGTGAATAGGAAAAACTTGTCCCCATGGGCTGGTCCATGTCTTCTAATCATCAGCAACAGAATGTCAAGAATGACTAAGCTTGGCATGACTGTCCTACCCAAGATGACTAAGAATATTCTAAAGGCGGATAAAGCTAATAGAAACCAGGATGACAACATTTTCAAAGGGCATCTAAACAAACAGTCAAACTATAGATTTCCAGTACTGAACACAGAATACCAGGCTCTGGGCTGCTCATACAGTTCCAGAGGCACCTGTACAATGTTTCTAGCTGTGATTGTCAGGATTGACTGTCAGCTCGACAGAGAGAAGCTTCTGGGCATGTCCATGAGGGGTCATGTAGGTGTGGCTCATTGAGGTAGAGATTGATTATTGAGGAATACCATTCCTTGGGCTAGATTTCAGAACAAATGCAAAGGAGAAATACAGATGCAAGCATTCATTGCTCTCTTCTTTCTGTCTACGGATGCCTTGCGACCCGCTGCCTCGGGCTCCGGCCGCCGAGACCTCTCTGCATGGCACCCTTGATCCATGAGGCAGAACAAACCTTCTCTTTCTTAAGCTGATTTCATCGGGTTGTTTCTTGGTCCCAACAACAAGACCAGTAACTATTACTCTGGCCAAGTTCTATGTCCTACACATCAGGTGTCTCCTTGATGGGACGCCTTTCTCTGTTTGTTTACACCGTTCGCTGTTCTCGCTCACGGTGTATTCTGCTTGCGCAGGGTGTGAAGAACAAGGGCTCTCCCCTGCTAACCAGCCTTCAGGGTGGATATTTGAGCCTGAGCCATCACCTTAGGATGTAAAAAAAAGCAATGGCTGCCCATTCCTGTCTGTGCAGGAATGTTTTAAATATTGTAAGCCGTGCAGGCACCCAGGCTAGGGCACTGGGCATTTGGAGTTTCTAAGTGGATGTCCATTCTTCATCCACAACTCAGGGTATCAGTCTACGGGCATTGAACTGAACTGAGCACCCACTATGGGCATAAGTAGTGTGGTAAAGAATCACTACCGCATTGTCGAGTTTACAGTGAGGAAGGGGGAGGAGAGGAAGAGTTAACACTTGCTGAGACAGACGATGTTCACATGGGCTGAAAGCACTCGAATGAGTACCGGCATCAGGAAGACCACAGAGGGCACCATTGTTGCTTCAACTTGTGTCTCTGTCCCGCAGGATACAGACACAGGTAAGAGCTGCTTCTGGGGTCTAACACTGGGGACCTCACAACCAACACAGGCACCCAACATGCAGGCAAGAGGCAGAAGCAACTAAGCTCAGGAAGGAAGACTACAGAGGGGCTTCAGTTGGGGCTCTCTCAGACAGAATTTAAAGGCAGCCCTGCCCCCACACCCACTGTAACCCTTTAGGACTTCGTTTAATCTCCATGTCTCCATGTGCTTTGTCCCCGCTCTTAAGAGCCCGCGCCCTTCACCAATGTCATCAGGTGGCCCCCATGAGCAAGCACACTGAGAGTGCCGAGGATGACTCATCCCAGATCACCAGAGCTCAGGGAGCACTACCCATGCACTGGTGCTCCTACAGAGGCAGATATCCAGAAGATGGAGAACAAGGATGGTTCTGATAAGCTGGAAGCTGTGGAGAAAGGCGGGTGTTTATGCAGAATGTCTTCCACCCGCCTTCCCACTTCCCCATCCTCAGAGACATCCATGACACCTGACACCCAGCATCTGCCATCCTTCCTGGAGTTAAGAATCGGCTGTGGAAGAGCCCACTCCATGGTGCAAGCTTGCTTCTGGGCAATCACACATCTCTTCTCCACAGCCCAAAGGAGCAGACATATAGTGAGTCTGGAGGACAGTGGCAACATCACTTGCTTTGTGATACCTGTGAAGATTGGTGTGATAACATGGACACAGGACCTAACGTGTGGTACAGGCTCTGCACAGCACAGGGACGGCCACTGTTCAAAATCATAAGCCATTTGTTCAGAACTGGCCTATACATGACATAGGCTTCTTCACAGTCATGGGCAGTCCATGTCATACTGACGGAGAATGGGAGTCTCTTTTACTATTAATAAAGTTTGTTCTTAGACAATTTTATACATGTATATTCAATTGCATGTACATGCAATTCATTCTGGTTACTCTCTCCTACCGTCTCTCAGCCCCTTTCTTCCTCACACGTATTTCCCCATACTTACAAGTTTTTGTTTCATTCCATGTCCCACAGAGTTGAACTAAGGCCATCTGTGTGACCCTGAGTTTGGAACAAACTCACTACCAGAGCCTGGTACCCTCAACAGTGGGTATTCAGCTGGATCACATGCCACCCCCTCTTCCAGAATCTGTTAGCTGCCAATTGGTCATCAACATGATGAAGTGAGTTCCTGTGCGTCAAGCGTGTGTATCTGCAAGCACACACCTGTGCCTGCCCTGTGCCAACACAACAGACACGAGTACCAATTATGTCCGGGTTATTTCCACAAAGATCCCACAGACCAAAGGGAAATGGGGCATTCTGCAAACCAGCATGAGAAGAGTGTGGTGACACACCGTGTTACAAGCGTGCCCAGAAGAAGTGACACAGTCCAGGCAGGGACAGAGAGGGTGGCTTTCTGAGGGAGAGAGCTGGGCTGAGTCCTAAGAATGGCGACTGAATGAGTGGGCACTGGCATCTGTCTGAGAAGCAGAAGGCACGAGGCCAGCATTCTAGGTAGGAGAGAGGGTGTACACAAAAGAAACAGGGTTCCTTTGCTTATCATCGGTTGTTTGGGGCGTAGCAAGGGCAGAGTTTCAGGGGTGGGAGGTGAGGTATGAACTTGGCGAGACAGTGATAGCCCATGAGCATCTGGGAGAAACGGGCTCTCTGGAGACTGCCAAGAGGAAAACAAACACATTTCAGAATGGAGAACAGGTGGGCACTGCAGGGCCTGCAGTGAGGAGGCAGGGGAGATGACGTTAGTGCAGCCAGGGCTGGGATCCAGTGCTCTGGGGCAGGCTCTGTCACAGGCAGGGATACGTGATCATCAATGAAAACCCAGGGCTATGCTGGTCCAGCTAGTGTGAGGTGCCTGTGTTGGGGCTAGGCCCCTCAAGAGAGCAGTGTAGAGAACCAGGCAGCAAAGCAGGACTCGAAGCAGTGGTTGTGAGGGTTGGGAGTTTGTACACAGCCCTTGGTTCCAGGAAGTGGTCGATGGGTGGAGGGGAGATTCCTGGAAAACAGAGCAGAGAGGCTCACGAGTGAGTGCACACAATTCTTCTATCATATCAGCTGCCAGGAGAGGCAGAAAGTTAAGTCAAGCTACCAGGAGGTCACATGTGTTGGGTACCTCCGGCACGCATGTGTCATCTCTACTCACTCTGAGGGCAGCTTGCAAAACAAAGGTATTAGGCCCTTACAGAACAGGAAGCTGGGTCTCAAAAAGAGGAAGCGGCCTTTTTAGTTTTCCCATGGCAGTTTCGTAGGGAGAAATGCTTTACTCTCAGAGCATATGGTGCCTGGGCTTGGCTGAAGAAAACAGTACCAGAGTCCTCATAAGGAGCTCTGGTTATGGGGCACCAGAGCCTGGTCCCAGGTAAGTGAACATGGGCACGTGGCCTCTCCTCCCTGACTCAGGCCTGACTCCATCTCTCCCACACGGTGTCTTCTGCTCTCTCACAGGACCCTTGCATACAGCCACAGTAGGAAAGAGACAGAGAGCAAGTTTCCATTCTCAGTTTCCCTGTTCAAATCCAGGTGGCCTGGCTTGGTACACATGCCTTCACCCACTCAGCTGTTCGCAGGTACTGCATGTGAGGAATTTGAGAGCGTCTCCAGCTCTTTCCCTGAGAGAAAGGCTCTGAAGGGATATTCAAGATGAGGAGGGGAGAGGAAAGTTACCATCTGTCTCCACATGCTGCTCCAGGGAGAAGCTGTGTCAAGTGGCTCGGGGAGAGTGTGTGAGACATGCAGGCTCCCACCTTTCCACCAGAGAACCAAGGGCAAGCTCCTGGAATACTTTATGTATTTAAAATGCTCCTTGCTGGTGATATTTGCTTGTAGAATTAAAGACTTCTACTTTTTAATGTTAGTTTTATTGTGATCAAGACACATGCTCGGTAAGAAAGCTTTCAAAGGGGCTTGAGAGTATA